AAAAACGGGGCTTTAAGGTGAAAGCGGGCAAAAACCATTATGATATTCGGAATCAGCATGTTCGATTACCCCTTGTCAACTAAGTCAAAGCTCAAAAGCGAGGGATCAGTCGGTGGCCTTCCCTCGTTAGTGAAAAATAGTCTGTGCCTGAGAGAAATGATATATATTAGGATTTTCTTCTTCTATCTTTTCACAGATGCCAAACTTGTATTATTTAAGCATTGATGGTTCGTCAGGTGTTCCATTCAATTTTTATCGATATCCATGAAATCATTTTTTCAACAGTCAACGATGGGTAAGTCAATTAACAAAATTAAAACAAATTTCTGTTGACATAACTACAAAGTTATGAGTATCCTCGGTGTAAGATCGATTTATCGCTAGTGGCTTTCAGGATGTAGTAAGGATCAGTTCGATCCTGTTTGACGCACAGAAGATTGGAGCTCAGCCATTCCGCCTGATTCACAGGATGCTAGAATGGCTCTACCAATCAACTGATTCGAGCGCTCATATTTCAGGATATATATTCTCTGAAAGTTCAAGCATGAATGCTCGATGCTTTACATACGACAAACGTAACCTTATCAATAAAACTCACAAATGCACTACAAAATATCAGCCTCTCTCACTTTCATTTTGAGATCAAGTTCCAGTCACATGTCGAACCAGGATTGAGAATTACGGTGGAGAACTTAGTGAATTTGAGACCGAAGATTTTGAGGTAAAAATAGATTGTACCATGTACTTGACGTAAAGTCCGAGTAAAACATGAGGAAATGAAGTCTAGAAAACGACCTAACTAGAATTGTTTAGGAAGAGAGAATGATAAGACATGATTTTGTTGGGATAGGTGTTTGAGAGTAAAAGTTAAGGCTTTTTATGGTATTATGATTAGGAAGTTTGTGATTATAAGATGAAGTTATTAATGAAAAGAAAAAATAAATGTGCGCTCAAGTCAGTCCGGTCTCACGAGCGATATTCCGAACGGGATATAGGATAAAATTTATATTGTAACCGGGATATTCCTGCAAAACATTTCGGAAAAAATCATTATCGCAAAATTGTGACGTTATTGCAGAAAAGTATAAGAAAGTGGTGAAAAACTGAGCCAAAATCCGTGTTGCTCTAGTGTTGCTTCAAATGTCTAAATCCCAGTCGAAATATTATCCCGTTCGGGATATGTGCACAAACAGTCCGATGCGTTTTTGAGTAGCTTATAAAGGAGTCCGGTTCGTAGTAATCTACTCGATTCGACTGTTCCATTCCTGTTCAATGTTATGGATAATAAATAAGAAAAAAAGCAACCGAAAGAAGTTAACATATTTTTCGATGTATTTTGAACTACATAAACCGAAGAGGTCTGTATTTTTTCTGCGCTAAAATGCAAAATATTATGAAAGTTTGAAGTACTGAATATCGGTGTATACGAAATATGCAAGTTATATGATTAATATCTCTTTTCTCTATTTAAACAAGGCTTCGAAGAGAATATATATATATATATATCTGACCAGAACATATTTTTATATCCCGTTTGGGCTATGAGACGGACTGACAGTGAACAAAACAGAATGTAAAAAGTATGCTACTACGTACGTTTTGCGTAGAACAAGTTAAAATGATATGAAATAGCACGCATGGCAGACGTTATTTTTACTTCTATCTTGTTCAGTCCGTTTAACTAGGCCTCATCAGAAAACAAAGCCACTACTTTGTATGACCAGACATCATCTCATCCTATTCTCGGCAAAAAATACATGCACAAATGAATTCTAACAAGACAAAAAGAAAATCATAATCGTACGGCGTACGTAAGCACATGCATGTTAGTTTTCCCTACGAAAAACGAGAGTTTGATTGAATTTTAGTTTTTCCTACAACACATACAGTATATGTTATATGCCCAAGTGAAAGACATCTAGCAAGGTCGGATAATTTCTTATGCAATCTTGCTACAAGATCTTTTGGTAAGATCTTGTAAGATCATATAGCGTCTTGTCAAAAGATCTTACAAGATCAGTTTGTAAGAAATGTTAAGATCTTGTAACAAGAAATTATAGGATCTTGCAAGATCTTGTTGATAAGCGCGGTTACTCATATTCACGTCTTTCCACAAGATCATACGATTTCGTGTTACAAGATCTTACAAGATCTGGTGATGGATTTGTATCAAGGAAATTTTGCTATCCTATCAAGATCGAACAGTTTTATGAAATCTTACGAAAATCTTCTGTATCTTATGAAATTATTAAAATAAGATCATAGAAACTGGCTCATCTTATAAAACTCATACAAGAATCTTATGAAAGTTAATCAAATCTTACTATAAGATCTTACATCAGGAATCCGTTTCTATGTTTCTTACGGGATCTTACGAAATTAGACGGAATCGTGGGACAAACATTTNAATCGTGCAACAATCTTATAAGATCTTACAGCACGATTCTTTGACGTGGGTCTTTAATAAAAGTCTTTTTCTTTTAATAATATCCTAGATCAAAGAATCTTGCTGTAAGATCTTATAAGATTGTTGCACGATTCCGTCTAATTTCGTAAGATCCCGTAAGAAACATAGAAACGGATTCCTGATGTAAGATCTTATAGTAAGATTTGATTAACTTTCATAAGATTCTTGTATGATTTTTATAAGATGAATCCGTTTCTGTGATTTTTCGTAAGATTTTGATCTGATTTTCTGACCCGGGGAGGATCTAACCAAACGAAAGAATCTTACTGTAAGATCTTATAAGATTCTTGCACGATTTCGTCAGATTCTTGCAAGAATTAGTAAGATTCTGTATGAAACATAGAAACGGATTCTTGATGTAAGATCTTATAGTAAGATTTCATGAACTTTCATAAGGTTCTTGTATGAATTTTATAAGATGAGTCAATTTCTATGATCTTATTGTAATAATTTCATAAGATTGTTCAACTGGATAGAGGAGATCTGTAGGACAGGACCAAAGACATAATCTTGTACGATCTGAGGAATTCTTATATGATCTTATGAAATCTTTCAAGATCTTGTCATTTCTTTACATGATCATACAAGATGTTATCACAAGGTCTTGCAAGGTCGTACAAAATCTTGTAAATCTTATAAAATTCTTAAAACAATGTGAAATCTTGTAATATGATCTTACAAGATGATATTTCAAGATCTTTCGCCTTGAATATAGATGAAGAAAAGAATGATATATACGTCTATTTGCACGAAGTTTAATGTTCTATTTATTTACGGCTTTATATACGGTATATGTTATTTGTTTTGTTTAATATCTTTCTTTGGCCTTTATAGTTTTGTAGTCTATGGATTGTTTTTTTTCTGTTTTTCTTTCTTAGTTTTTAATTTCAAAATTATAAATGAAAATGTTAATAATTATTATTTTATGTTCTTTATTTTGTCACTCTTCTCTATCGGATGATAGTAAGGAATTAACTATCAAAGACATCGATCTATTAACAGCGACTATTACAGATTTACAACAGGCATTACATTCAAATCAAATAACGTCGTATAATTTAGTTAAATCATATTTAGAACGAATTAAAAAAGTAAATAATGAATTACATGCGATTATTGAAACCAATCCCGATGCACTCGATCAAGCGAGTAAATTAGATCAAGAACGAAATGATAATAAAGATGCCAAAAGAAGTCCATTGCATGGTATACCACTTTTGATTAAAGACAACATTGCTACGGATGATAAAATGAACACAACATCTGGTTCTTTCGCGTTACTTGGCTCAAAAGTTCCACGTGATGCCGACGTGATTTATCGTTTAAGAAAAGTAGGTGCTATTATTTTGGGTAAAACAAGTATGTCTGAATGGTCAGCATCACGTACAACAAATCAAACACGTGAAGGATGGTCAGCTCGTGGTGGTGTGTCAAAATCTGCATATGTTGAAAATGGTGATCCATGTGGTTCAAGTTCTGGATCGGCCATAGCAACATCGATTGGATTATGTGCAGCTGCTCTCGGTACAGAAACAGATGGAAGTATTGTATGTCCGTCAAGTCGTGCATCACTGGTAGGTATAAAACCAACAGTTGGATTAACATCGCGTGCTGGTGTTATACCCGTTTCACATTCACAAGATTCGGTTGGTCCAATGGGAAAAACGGTACGAGATGTAGCTTTACTACTAGAAGCAATTCAAGGTATGCATTATTGTTATTCGTCATCAATGTCTCTTATTATCATCATTCTTCGTATTTTTAGGTATTGATCCACGTGATAATGCCACATTAAATATCGATGCTGTACGTCCAAATAATTATACGCAATTTCTTCTGGGCACAGAAGGCTTTAAAAATATGCGTCTCGGTGTTGTTCGTTATGGTGTATTTTATAATTATACAACATCAGAGTCAGACATTATGTCTGAAGAACAAATTCAATCGGCAAATGATGCCATTGAATTAATGAAACATTATGGCGCATATATAGAAGATCCAGCTAATATTCAAAATATTGAAAATATTAATAATGGAACAAGTGAATCAGTTGTATTAAAAACAGAGTTTAAACAAGATATTGAAGTATATTTAAGTAAATTACAAAATACAAATATAAAAACATTAGCAGATTTAATTCAATTTAATAATGATAATAAACAATTGGAGTTTACAGAATATATGCCAGATCATAATCTATTCGAAGGTATTATCCTCTCTCTCATCATTATCGTTATTTCATGTACTATTCATTGTTTGTATTTCAGCTAGTGAAAATACTACCGGTTACAATAGTAGTAAATATACAGAGGCTTTAGCTACTAATTTAAGATTGGGTAGAACAGAAGGCATTGATTATACATTAGATAAATACAATTTGGACGCATTAATTATGATTGGTGATGGTGCATCATCAACTGCAGCTATTGCTCAATATCCAATTATTAGTGTACCACTCGGTTATTTGACTGAAAATAATGGAATAAATAAAACTTTGACTGGTACACCCTATGGTATATTGTTTATTAGTCGTGCGTGGAGAGAAGATATTCTGTTAAGAGTGGCGCACGCATTTGAACAAGCTACACATGTAAGAGATCGAGTGCGACCAAAATATGCAATATAATAAAACAATGACTTCTATTATTAATAAATATATATACATACACACAGTGGGGAACCACGTGGACTTTAGGGAAAAAACACTTACAAGATTTGAATCGTAGGTCATATACTTCAACATACGCTCTATTTAATTACCACGAGAAGTTTTTTTCTAAGTGCCATTTTAAGCAAGAAAATCTTTATGCAAGTTTTCCTTTAAAAACAGACCTATGAATATAGAAATATTGTTTCTCCCAAAACCCAATATGATAATCTCAATAATTATACATAGTTCGAAACTAGACCTGTCACTCTATCTATCCGTAAAAAGAATTTTTTCCCAGTACGTTTTGGAATCGAGAAAATATTTATTCTTTCTCTGCTAAGTGTTTTCCGAAAACGTGTGTCCACTAAAGTGAGGTTTCTATTTATTTCCAAATTTCGAACTAAATGAAAATTTCAGATATTCTACTTCTATGGACATACTAAAGTAGATTCTAATTGTCTACAGAAGATAGCGCAAAGATGCGCAAATGCTTCTAAGCTGAGATATAGGTTTTATAAAAAAAAACTCGTTTTTTGGGTAAAATCCATTTTTCTCATCTGACATGCACTTTCATTAAGAACTAATGATATATTTAGAATCAGCGCATCGAATGATATGTCATTTATATCTTTTTATGCACAAAAAATCGTTGGATTTAATGAAATCACAAATTTGCAGCATTCCTGTAGTAATTTTGGCTAGACACTAGAATTTTCATTTAAAAGCAGTTTGGACGCCTACGAAGGTTTTCAGATGCGCTCTTTCAAATGATGTGATTTACAAAGTCCGGGGTCACCTTTAGTCAGGTATTCTAAAGACCGGATCTCTGGAAAATCGTGGTAAAACCATCTTTAATCTTGCAAATCACACCAATCGAAAGAACGCATACGAAAACCTGTAGATATAGTGTTTAGAAGCTTTCGTATCACTTCTATGGCACATGTTCACATGCCTAGTCAAAATTGCCCACTGCGAGACAGTGGGTGTGACAAAAAATTCTTTTGCATTGCAAAGCCGTAGATATCAACATTGATTTCGATGATGATATAATATCTGAATTTGTTTTCTTTATTTTTGGAGTCTGTCCATAACTGCAAGATATTAACAGGATCATGTTCTCTAATTTTTTACGGATTCGTCAACTGCTCGATGATTTCCGTCAACAAAAGAGATAAACATTAGATAAAAAATGACTAGGTAAAATGACTGGTGAGATCTCAAAGAAAAGCTTAGCTCTTCTTGTAATATCTAAAACATTAGAGAAAAATGATGATGTTAATACCCTTAAGTCGTAGTTCTGCTCAATCTGCTCAAAGAGATTCTGTGCGTGAGAATAGTATAAAATATTCTCTTACTTTGGAAGAACATCTTGAAAAGCCTAACTATTTTATGTTGGTTTTGAAAGCTCTATTGGACTCCATGGTATGTTGTAGATAAAACAGAGTTTATCTTGATGTTCTGACATAGTTTGAATCAATTCTGAGTGAGTTATGAATTTTGTAATTTTACATGAAAATAGCCAAAAATGGGTTATTTCACCTATTATTGGTTTTTTGAAAAAAGGCTACCCAGCCAAACGCTGATAACTTTTTACTGAAAAGAGGTAGCGACGTGTGGTTTTGGGCAATCGATCAATGTGTTATAACCCGGAAAAGCTCGGAAAAACATTCGGAAAGTGTTGTCCGAAACAAATTTGTTTGTTATTTTTTCGCCAGTTTTGTAGAGCGAGAGGTCTCCTTTCGAATGATATCTAAGGAATCCAAAAATTTCGCTTCCTCGCCGAGTTATAAGCGTTTCAAAATCGACTGATTTTTCGGGAACTTTGGCGTTTTTGAGCTAAAAAATGTCGACACATAGGTAATCGAGTGTGCTGATTATCGTAGTGATGTTAGTTTTGTGTTTGGAGACGAAAAAAATTGAGTTAATTGAGATTTTCGGAAAATCGCATATTTTCCCTAAGCGCACGGAAAACTCACTTTTTTAAAGAACGCAGTTTAATCATTTTTATTTACTCCAAACCGAAACTAACATCATCACGATGATCAATGCACTCGATTAGCTGTGTGTCGACATTTTTTAGTTCAAAAAAGCCAAAGCAGCCGATTTGGAAACGTTTATAACTCAGAGAGAAAGCGAAATTTTTTTCGGTTGCTTAGAGACTATTCGAAAGGAGACCTCTCGCTCTACAAAACTGGCGAAAAAAAAAACACAAATTTGTTCCGGAAAACGCGCTGTTTTTCAGAACTTTTCCGGGTTATAACATCCAGAAAGTTATTTTGGATCTTTCATTTTCGCGTAGATTTGTGTCCCGTGATGTCCTCTTTCGATTGCCGAAAACCGCAGGTAGCTGGCTCTTTTCATTAAAAAGTTATAAGCGTTTTGCTGAGTAGCCTTTTTTAAAAAAGTCGATATGAGGTTTCACTCGGTTTGTGCGCTTCTTTTCGAAAAACAAACATTGCCATGAGGATCAGCATTGTTGAACACCTATGTTTGCATATACTACTGAGGCTGCAAAGCCTAAAAATCTAAACCTTAAAGATATCGCTAGTTTTGGGCTCAGCGAAGATTTTTTCACCTCACCTTACGGCTAGTGTCGTTCAAAGCAAGCACTTTGAAGCAAAACTCTGGGTACAAAAGTTGTTGAAAATCGAATTCTACAGTCTCTAACGAGAGATTTTTTTAAAATTGTCCTTTTTGGTTTTTAAATTAAAAAATACGAAATTTTAAAGCTTTAAAAACCGTAAAATTTAATTTAAAAATCAGAAAAGGACAATTTTAAAAAAATCTGTCGTTAAGGACTATAGAATTTGATTCTCAACAACTTTTGTCCCCAGAGTTTGGCTTCAAACTGCTTGCTTCGAACGAAAGTAGCCGTAGGGTGCGGTGAAAAATACTTTTAGCTCTAAAAGCTCTCTAACTTCATTCGGGAACGATAAAAAGTGTTTCTCCTTATACAAGTTAATGTTCTCTATCGAACTACGGTAGAATTAATTCTTCATATCAAAAACTAAAGTTCTTGAAATTTTAAAAAATGGCAGAAAACCGAAAAAACTTCAAAATCTTTTTTATTAGAAACCACAAATCCGGAAATCGAAAGTTTTGTTGAGACATATACCCGAAGTGTCTTCTACAAACTGGTGGAAAAATCCGGGTGGGAGGATTCTCTCCCTTAAGTTCTTAATAATTTATGCGTGGTATCTTGGAGCAAAAACAAATATCGTCGTTCCAACGTCTGTTAGAGATTAGAATATTGTTTGTGGATGATATTAACACGACGAACCGAAAAACGGAAGAATTGAAGATGAATTTGCAGGTTGACTCATTATTGATGCTTATCGAACAGTAGAGTACTAAGTGAAGAGACATTTAAAGAAGGATTATTACTTTTTAAGGGCACGAGCAACTTGATAGTAACATCCATCTAATCAACTTTCGTTTGCTAATACAAGTCTCTCATCTAATATCAAAGTGTCACGTTTCACGTGGATGGGATGTAAGTTTTTTCTTGAACATCGCTTATTCAAGAGGAGTGCGTTTTTGGGATACCATTACACATGCGTGTGAAAATAAAAAGACTAATTGATTTGTATTTTCAAATATTTAATGTGAAAAAAATGTCTGCCTTTTTCCAACTTATCTAATTATTCGGCTGAGTTCTACCTTCTTCGAATGTAAGTTCGATTCTGCAGCTCTTATCTTCAGTATATAAAATCAATGTTTTTCTGGTAAACATACTTGATATGTTGGATAACACAAAGAAAAGATTTTCTTTCAAGTTATTTTTGTATATATCGCCTATTTCCACCCGATGTACAAATATATTTACCCTCTTGTGAACCTTCTTCATTTTTTTTCATAGAACTGTAATGATCTATTATATTCGCCTTTCCCATTGTAAACTATTCCAATATTATTATATGTGGTTGCCATGATTTGGGAGCAACGACTTCAACTGAATTTTAAGTGTCTTTTCATAATACTCTAATGCTTTATTGTAGTCACTTTGTTCACAGATTGTGTAATTGCATTGTTCAGGGATGAGGATCATAAGCTACCTAATAATTATCGACCAATTATGTTACTGCCGGCTCTGTCAAAGGTTATCGAGAGAGTCGTCTACAGGAAATTATATCAATATTTGAATGGTAACAAACTCCTGTCTAGAATTTTAGTGTTTGTTTGGTAATCATTTGGAGTGGATTTTGTTCTTTTATCAGTTGTCTTTTACATATTGGTCTCTTCTATCTCTCCCTCTCTATTCCGACGCAATTTTCAAATGAAATGAAGTGTCATCTATGCTACTGTGGAAATTGCGGATCGATTAGGATCTTTGCATTTGATATTACAAAACTTGGTCTGAAATGTCGAAGTAAGGCTGTGAAAAGGTAGAGCGAAATGTTCTGAGTAAGATGCACAGATTACATTGCAATAATAATGCTGGAGCTAGACCGGTAATAAGTTGCCCATATTACTAGCCTTAAGAATTCAGGCTCTCCATACCTTCGTGGCTAACGTCACGAGATAGCGCACAGAAGCTCTCATGAAAGGTGATAACATTAATAGATCCTATTTGATAGTCTACGAATAAAGGACACATGACGTTGCATGTGTCCTAGGCGACCGAACTTACGGCGATTCTGTAGAAACCTTATAGGAATCTTATATAAAGCAGTCGATGGAAATGCGTAAGATAGTGATAAGATTCTAATAAGAAGGAATATAAGAATCTTATAAGATTCTGATAAGAATTTGGTAAGATAAATTATATAAGCATCAATATTAGAAACTGTAATGGGCAAGGGTTTAATGCAGAATAGATTAATTAATGCGGCTGTTTTGAAACCTTTCACTGGATATTTCGATCTGTTTATTCGGTCATTTTCAACATACTAACAACAAAAAACAGCAACATAACCTATACATGGCTCTTTGTTTTCTCTTACATGGATGGAAAACATGTGATACATTCCAGAGAT